CCAATATCAAGTGTACGAATTTTCTTGTTTTCCTTGTATATTGCACAAAAAACCACATTACTTTCAATTGAATAATAATATGCTAACAAAGCATCACCATAATCCCAAATTATTTTTTCTGTTAGTTCTTGTGATGGATCTCCTCCACTATCAGTTCCTTTTTCTTCTCCTCGCCAAATAGCATTATTGAGTATACATCCAGCAGTATCGGGTCGTTTATGTCCTGTGCTTGTATTAAAATATGTATTTTGACTAATTGTTATACCATCAGTGAGAGTTTCAATTGTGTATTAATACAAATATCAAGGCCTACGTGGTAGTAATTTTCTGTATTACCTTTTATAAATGACCGTTGTTCTATATTATGATCAATCCATTTGGACACTGTGGCATTATAAACATAAGAATCCAATGCTTTTAAACCAGCTGGAACAAAATATTGATCTAATAGAACTTTTTCTGTCATTCGTGACAAATCTTTGGAATGAAGAATGTCTTCATAAAAATTGCACGGAATTTGTAATTTAGTTATTGGCAATTCAAGTATAAATTTCGGAAGCTGATGGAGGGTAGGTAAAGTTTGAATCTCAGGCTGCAACATTAGTTCACGAGAATTAATATATTCCAAAGATGCTTTATAAATAAAACAGTGAGTATACTATTTAGTTATCGAATATTATTATATTGAAATTCATATAAAGGATTATGAGTAGAATGTTGCTGTGACTTAATAATAAGTTTTGGATAAATAACAAGAAAAAGTATAAATTAGTTATTGTAAGCTATACAAAATGCTCTCTCAAAAAAATAAATAAACGAAATGGAATGAATGGAAAATAATTTTTTTTACGCATTACCTTCACCTTTACCAAATTTTACCAACGCATCCTGCCATTTCATCAATTTTTTCCACTTATCCTTCTTGTCTTCCATCAACTGCTTCAACTCCTCTTCCAGTCTAGCCAGCTGCTTCTCCTCCCTTTCACTAAGCTCTTCACTTTTCATCCTTCTCCTTAACTCTTTCAACCACTACCATCCTCCTCCCCCTCTTCGAATTCCTTTAATTTCCCCTCCGCCTTCTCCAGCCTCTCCTTTGCGTCATTTAATTCTTTTTCGATTCTTTCGAAAGTTGCCATTTTTTAAAAATTATTTTTTTTTTATTTCGTAATTGTTATAATTTCGATCAATGATAGATTAGTGTGGAATTTATTTTTTATACCCATCAAAAAAAATGAAAAATTTCACGTCGGGCCCATATGTATGATCATGCATGTTGCCGATCCTTAATGCTGGCCATTTCGTCATTTTGTCATTTTTTTTGATGGTAGTCTTGTTTTTAGGCTGCGTCTTTATTTCATATTATTTCATATTTTGTAAAAAGTATAATTTACTCAATAAAGATTGTTTAGGGAAAAAAAATTTTAAAGAAGTGAATTTGAATGTGGCATACAAAAAGTCTGTATTATGACCCATTTAGATCAAATCATGTGACTTTAGAAATCTAACGTTAATGTCACCCAATTCCACTCTTTCTTTCCCTTGCAAATAGTCAATGAAGTAAAAAAAAAATTGTTTTGCGATTAGCCTGGAATCTCACTTCATGAGGTATTAGAATCAACATAGTTCTTGGAGTAATGCTCTTATGTTGCATTTTTTTTTATCAAACGATAATAAAGATAAAATGATTATCAGTCGATCGAAACACGAAACTGCGCATAAATAAAACACCTTCAGAATTCGTCAAATTAATACACGATGCAAACGTTCACTCTTGAACTTTATCCAACAAGGGGTCATATACATATTTCATTTTATAAAAATGTAACGAATGCAGAAGAATTACGAAAACGTTTACTAGCTCATGATCAAGAATTATCTTATGCTTTTATAGATGCTAAAGTGGTAAAAACTTTTTTTTTTTAAAAAAAAAAAGAAAGAGTTGTTTTTACTTATTTTCATTAAGCCTTACTTTGAGCATTGAAAAAAGGTGATGGATCGGTTTCAACTATTAATAGCTGCAAATGACGCGGTACACCATGAATTACATTCTTTGCTTAAAACTTATAACGTACATTCCGAAATTGTTTATAACCTTTCTCCAACAACAAATGTAAGTCCATTTGTAATTTAATTTTTAATTTAATCCATTTATATTAAGCCTTAGGCTTTACATTAGATAAATGAATCTCTTCGAAGATTTGGAATTTCTAATTCTTCAACTTCAATAGTAGTAGTTAAGGTTGGAGGAAATGCTGAAGAGGTAACTAATCAAGAAAGTTTATTTATTATCATTTTACACGATTCACTTTATAATTTGTTTAAATTTAGGTGAAATCTCATTTATCGACATTGATTCATGGTGATGAAGCAGATGTTGGGGAATTTTCTAATTCCGTAGATATTTCGAGTATCAAAAAGGTAATTATTTTTTATTTGTTATTCGTTATAAAGAAGCGTTTGGAAATAAATAAATAAATAAATATTTTTAAATATTTTTATCTAGTATTATAAGATTGATAATAAGGTTACCGATCAAAAAGAAATGCTTGATATTATTGTTGGATCAATCGCTATTAAAAGTGTAAGTTAAATTATACACGATTAGAGTTATACGTAAAGATGAACATGTAATTTCAATAGCTCGTAAAAAAAAATAAATTCGTTTTTTTTTTTGCCTAGTATATCTGTATTATAATATCATCATTGATCAATAAACCTTGCTTGAGACAAATTTTATTAAATTTTTTTTTTGTGTAATAAAAGTAACTCGTCAAAAAAAAAAAAATACAGAGTTACGGTGAATATATTAATAAAGGTTCATTTCAAATTTTTGTGTGAGTAAGGGATTGTAAAAAAAAAAAAAATGGATCAAGAAATGGACGAATATAAAACTCCAACTGCCTCACGAAACAATACGCAAAATATGGTTATAGATGTCATGTCACGAAACAACACGCAACAGACGGATCAAAATATGATTGATGACGAATATGAGTCCTTAAACGAATCACGAAACAATACACAACAAACAAATCAAGAATTGGACGAAAACGGTGAAGATAATGATGTAGAGAATCAAGAAGTTGTTAGTAATTTTTTTTATTGATTATTTTTTTTTTTTGATTTGATATTTTGAACACTTTTTTTTTTGATTTATTTAATTTAGGAAAGTCCTCCTTCTACTAAAAAAAGAAAACGAACCACAAAGAAAAAAGGAGAAACCCTAGAAGATAACGAGGTTTTTTTCACGTTCATTTAATTTTGATTTTTCTCTCTTTTATTTAGCTAAATTTTCCATTCTCAATTTTAACTGAATAAAGACATCAACCTCCATCAATAATTCAAACAAACGTGCTTCAGCTACTGTTCGTAATAAATCCAATACGATAAAATCAAAGAAAAAAGCTGTTCCTCAAACTGCAACTTCTGATATCGAAGAAACCAATGATAAATCAACAATTTCAGAAAAACCAGCAAAGACCAAAAAATCTGTTGGTAGAAATCCTTGGACCATAGAAGATGACAAAAGGTTGGTCGACGCAGTTTTGGTAAACCTACAAGACGTACCTTGGTCCAAGATCGCTCGTGAAAATTTTCCCAATCGTGACAGATCAGGTTGTTACAGCAGATGGAATGTGATCAAGAAAAGATTATATCAGGACACACATAGTGGTGGAAGTAATTAAGTATATTTTATTCTTATTACATGTATGAATATATAACATTTACCAATAACAAATTATAAATAAAAGTCTTCAGAATTTAATTCTTTGAAATTGTTAAATAATATTGCTAAAAGCATGATTCAATCCAACTTTTTCCCCGTTGTCTACTTATTACGGGATTATCCATTTCAATAACTTCAAATTATCGTTTTAAATTACTTTGTTCAAATATATAGAGAATTATTATAAATACAAATTATGCAGCCATCGCATGTTCTTTTGCTTTAGCTTCTTCAAATTCTCTCTTCCTCCTTCTATTTTCTAATAAAGTATGTTTACGTTTTTGAATTAATTCTAATTGACGTTTCTCAAGATAATATAAATAAGATCCTACTCCTCCAAAAAATCCAGCCGAAATTGCATGAGTAATGGGTTCTAAATCAAAAAAATTATTTGTTAATTTTGTTAAAATTTTAAAATGAAGCCAAAGAAAAAATTTAAGCATATGTACTTTGTAAAAGAGGTTTTTGTTGAATAGCTAAAGCAACTACCCTAACCGTGAATCCAAAACCAATCCATCCAGCAACATATGGCACAACTCCAGACATTTTAAATTTAAAACCTTCAAAAAATAAACATAATATTATTTAATTAATCATATAAATTGATAATTTAAATAATAATACATCCTTTACCTAAATAAATTTGTTAATAGATACGATATTTAATTGATGAAATCGATATAGTTTTTTGATTTTGGTAACATTGATTTTTGAAGACTTTTTGCACAAATTATCATTAATATAACCTAATTTGGACCGATAATGCATTTCAAATTTCAAAAACTCACATGGTGGATTATATCTCCAAGTTTTTCTTGAAAAGAAATTTTAATTAATAAATATTGAAAAAAAATTACATATTATCACCGTGATTATCAATGTGATAAAACCGCGTAATTCAAAAAAAAAATTTCCTGAAATCTTTTATTATATACCTCATACTAAAAATGCCGATAAATACTAATGACCTTAGATTCTTTGCAGAGGATGAACTTGTTACAATAGAACCATTTTTTAAAGAAGAGGCTTTAATCCTGTCTAGTGTAAGCTATTTCTTATGCAAGCAATTTTTTTTTTATAATTAAATTATTCAATAAAGTTGTCGATTGAATATCGAAGTCAACACATTTATAATAATTTTAAAGAGAACTTTTGGTCCATTCGAACCACCAAAAAAACTCGAAATGCCCCTTTGGGCAGCTTTAGCACTGAAAGAACGAAAACAATGTAAAATATTCCCTCCAGAATGTTTGACAATCGGTAAGTTATTTGAATTATGATTTGGTCAATTGATCGATAAAATGTCTCCTGATATTTTCTAATTTCGTAATATGTTCGAAAATAGAGTTCCTTGAAAATCGGTTAGAACTTGAAGATTCCTTAGATATTAATTATGGACATAAACCACTCAGTAACTTACCAAAATATTTTATCGAATTCTCAAAAATATTGTTGGAAAAGTGAGTTATTCAAAAAAAATACTTGACATCAATTTAATTAAAAAAAAAAAATTCATGAAAATTTATATATTTTTATTTCTATTAAAACATCTAGTGCAGAAGATGATATAGAAAATCCAGCAAGAGTACGGTATCTCTTGCAAAAACTTAAAGAGATACGAGAAAATAAAATCGAAAAAAAGTTAAATGATTTAGAGGTTAATGGACTTAAGGTATATTATATATTTTTTTTTGATTCGAAAATATCAAAACTAAAATTTATTTTAACTCTAGATGAAAAATCTCACTACAAGTGAGGTTCATAAGATAAGACCTACTTTCACGATGGCTCTTGAGGGAATAAGGAAATTGGATGGTGTTAGGAGTGAAGATCCTAAAAAACCTCCCGTGCAAGTTAATGGTATGCAAGAAATAGATCATTTGGAATTAAATGGACGAGACGATGACATGAATCTTGAAGATTACAGAATGGATTTAGATGATACAATAATTTATGATTAAATAAACATTTTCGTTTATAGAGTTCATATTTGTCAATTTTCACAGAATGAGCCAAGTGTAACGTCTTTTAAGCTATTCAGGATTAGTAATAGTAGAATACTAAAACGAAATTATATCAAAATTTCAAAAGCACCTAAATTAATTTGTGATTCGTTCTCGAACTTACTCTACAGTCTGTTCTACGCTTGCAAAAATTTTCGCATACTTTTTCTAATACATTTTTAGTCATGTTCCTATTACCTAATATACTCGAGAAACTTCTGAAAGTCAAATATTTTGAAATTTTTACATATGAAAAGTGAACACTACAATATATGTCATCATAAATGTCCATAAAATGCTGTGCATTTTATTTATATCACCCTTCGCCATTGTCTTACTTTAAATAAATAATTTCTTATTTATACAAATAACTAAGAAAATAAATACTTTAAAATATTTTTTAAGTTTAAAAGTAATTACTAAATACTATTATAAAAGAAATAACCCTTATTGTGACTAATATTTATTATTATTAAAAACTATTTTTTTTTTTATATACATATTTCTTTAAAATTTCTTTTTAATATAATAAATTTATATAATAAAGTGTTATGTTATTAATATATAATAACTTTGTAATATAAAGGAAGAAACTAGTGAAAAAATCAAAATATATTAATGTTAAATTTAAATATATTTTAATCTAAAAATCATATTTGATTTTTTTAACAGCTTCTTTTTTCTATTAAAAGTTTTATATTATATATAATATTTTAAAAAAAAATTATATTAAATAATAATTAATTTTATTAGATATTCATTATTTAAAGATTTATGTTAATATAATTTATTACTATATATTTATTATATTTATAATACAATATACCTAATTAATAATCATTTAGTATAAAGTATTAAGTAATAATTATATAATATATTCTTTTTGCTAATATTAATAAAATAAAATTTGTTGAAAATAAAGTTTTACAATATATAATTTATAAACTTTTTTTTTTTTTTTTTTTTTAAGCAATCTCTCATATTAGATCATAATCATTGCTATAAAATAACAATAGCTAATGGTTGGGCTTTTCAATAGATTAAAAACCCTTCTGCTCAAGTATTTTTTCATTAGTTAAATTTAAATTTAAAATTACCAGATAGAAAACTTTTGGCAAGTCTTATATTAGATTAAGCTATTAAAAATATTAATAAAGTACGTCAAGAGAAATTGAATAAAATACATAAACAAGCTGGCATTATTATACATGAAGTCGAAATGAAAACCCAAAAGTCGAAATGTTTCGACTTTGGAGGTCAAAGTCGAAATGAAA